CCAGCAGAGGAGTTAATTCTTAGCACCCACCTTTAGGGAATAGGCTCTCTTCCTCTGTGACCCGGTGGAGCACAACTTTGCCCTTTCCCACTGCCACTGGGAGTAAAGCGTGGGGAAAGCCATAAAGCTTTCCAGAAAAGAGAACCATTTCCCCTTCCAGGGTGAGGGAGAAAAGGCGGAGGCATGCTGCCCCTCAGACAGAAAGTCAGGAAACCACTGGGCTGCTCAAGGGACACTGTTATTCCCCTACCTTGGTTCTGCATCACAGCCCTGAAGTCTCGTTTACATCAGAGGGAAAGTGCTATAGCCACAGCACTAAAACTCCCTTCTGCCAAGGTACTTTCCAATACGATAAAGGGAATAATTACATCGTCATACATCATCTTTATGCTTTAGCACTAAGGTGTTTCTAGTAGAATCATTTCTGTTGTGCGTTGGGTTTTTTTGCTTTTTTTTTTTTTTTCTTCAAGCTGCTCTCATTACCGAAACAAATTACATGAATAAAAATGTCCAGAGGGAAACAGCCCTTCATTAGGCAGTCAGTCAGCAGCCCCCTGCCAGGCCTCCACCTCCAGTCCCAGCCCCGCTCCTCCCACGGCCATGGAAGGCTGCACAGGAGGCTGTCAGCTAAGTAAAACTACGTCTCATGTGTTGCACCGCTACCGATGTCAGCACCCGAAATCAGTTTTAGATGGATTTTTATACCACCCCCAGAGCCATGATAGCATCTCACCACTCACACGGTTCGATTACAACAGAAAGAAGCAACCAACTGACACGGTGCATTCGCCAGTAAGCGAAGGGAACAGTCCCTGTACACATATGTGTGTATCAAAGTTAAAAGCATTAACTGGCTTGGTTAAGCCGTGCTAATACATCAGTCTGTCTCATTTGCTTGGAGTCCCGCTTGTTTCCCCGGATGAGGAGAGGCTGAGGTTAAACTGAGGTTAGCTGGCACATGTCAGCCAAGCCTGACCTAATCCTTGGTTTATTCCAACTTGTTGTGACTTTCTCTCTAAATAATATTAAGAATAGGATGAAACCACAGCGCTACAGTTGTGTTCCAAATAACTATTTTTAGGAGCTGTACACAAACAGATGAAGGCTAGCTATGCACGCTGGCTGCTCCACAAAACCCTGCTCACCTTTCCTCAGCCCTCCCATCCCATCCAAAGCACGTGCACAGATATTCCACACCAACCTCAACCTGAGCACCTCCTTCAGATGCTAAAGTGGGAAGACATGCTCAATAACATCTTTGCAGCAAATAATGAGACTCCCCAAGACTTGGACAAAAACAGTCTGTTTGCTAAACCCCTGCCCACGGCGGGGTGGTGGAGCTAGTGATCTTTGAGGTCCCTCCAACCCAAGCCATTCTACGACTGTGAATTTAGACTTTGCCTAATAGCTTTATCAGACAGATAACTTCAGCCAGTTGGACTGCCTCTCCAAGCTTTCCCATGGACATACTCCTGTTCTTTGTGCTGGATTCAAGAGCTGAGGAAACCTCCCCCCAAAGCAGCTCTGAGATCTGGCATAAAAGTAGGGGTTTCAGGAGCAATAGAGAAAAAATAATAATGCAGCTTAAGCCACAGAGGTGCTACTTTTTACTCCTTTTATTGAGTATACAATATTTTGTTCCCCCTATTTCAAGGAAAATAACACTCCATGTGATTGCTATGGGATGTAAATGTGTACTCCACTGTTCAGACGGAGCTCATAACTGAAACATTTGAGAGCCAATGAAATCCCAAGCGTAAAGTTTTTAATTTTCATTCAAGCGCGGCATTAAAATTCTGGTTGTGCAGGAAAAAGAAAATACTGCCTCAGAGTGCTTTTGAGGTCTATTCCTTCTGATGTAGTAACTAGGATAACTCAGCGGAGATGCCTGAAGCCTGTTCCTGGTGCTACTACCTAACCCTCTTTTCCCATTCCTACTCCTGTATCACAGAAGAGTTTGCCAAAAGGCTTGTGAAGGAGATGGGGATTTGGACTGCAAAGCATTAATCAAACCCATCACCTCCACAGAATCACAGAATGGCCCAGGTTGGAAGGGACCTCAAGGATCTCGAATCTCCAAACCCCTGCCACATGCAGGGCCACCAACCTCCCCATTTAATACCAGACCAAGCTGCCCAGGGCCCCATCCAACCTGGCCTTGAACACCTCCAGGGACGGGGCAGCCACAACCTCTCTGGGCAGCCTGTTCCAGCACCTCACCACTCTCTCTGCAAAGAACTTAATCCCTGTACCTTCATCCATGGACCTCCAGCCCTGCATGAGAACCCATGACCACGGTGCACGAGAGCATGGCTCATGCCAAGGCAGCTGCAGGATCTCCACAGATATATACCCATGACAAACACAGCGGGCTGACGCACTTACCAGAACAACATCCTCATCTGAAGGCGCATGACCATCATTTATGGGAAGAAGAGGGTTATCTTGCAATACCGATCTTATTCAGCAGCTTCCAAGATGACTGGGTATGATACAAGAGTAAAAAGCCTCAGCTGTAACCACTAAGTGCTCAGCACAGCTGACAGGGAAACCCTGTAATAGGCTCAATAGTTGCGCCTTTCAGATCCTCAGACCACGGGCCCCAACACCCGCACTCACAGCCTGTATTCAAGCAGCCTCTGACTGCTTCATGCTCCAATCATGTGCTTCTCATACTTGTATCCTGTGATCTTCATGGGCTGCCCATTTCACAGTCCCGTCAGAATTCAAGATGTTGAATTTAACCTAGAGATGTTTTTGTGGTTTGACATTTGCCTGGCAGAGATGGCACCACCTCTCCCTACCGAAACTGTGAGCAGAACAGTAATTGCTTGGGGGTCTGCTTTTGCCCTGTTTTCCTTTTATGCCCACTCAAAAAATATTGGCTATGGTACCTTTGGAAAAGACTCAATCTGTGATTGTCATCCATCCATGTCCAACGGACCAAGTCAACCCAATCCAATGTTTGCATGCCCACACGCTACCCAATTCACCAACCCTTCAGTGCACCAGGACCTGCCTCTTTCCCTGGAACAGTCCACGGAGACATCAGGAGAACCCTGCTACATGCTGTTTCATAGAATCATGTATCAGTAAGTTTGGAGAAGACCTCAAAGACCATCTAGTTCAACCATCAACACATCCCCACCGTGCCCATAACCACGTCCCCAAGTGTCATATCCACAGAGCTCTGGAGCACCTCCAGGGATGGTGACCCCACCACCACCCTGGGCAGCCTGTTCATTGCAGTCTTTCAAGCACTGAGCATAGAGGAAGGATGAACAGCTTGTGGTTATGCCATCATATGGAGACGTGGCTTCCAGCTCTTCTAGCAACCTATCACGGATTTCCCAAGAGTTCTGAGCAGGTCAGATAATTCTCCCATCAGACTTTCCCCCCTTTCAAGTGCTTGGGAAGGAAACATCCACAAGCAGCCACTGAACACTCAAACATCAGCACGGTGAGGGCTCGATAACCAGATGCCTCTCTCCCTGGTGAAGGAGCAGCACAATGACTTTAATGACTTACATCTGCTTTAGCTGCCACGAAAATACTTGGGTTATGAAGCACAGAATGTAAACAGCAATAAAAAATGGCTTTTTTTTATAAGAAGGCCTGAATCTTTTTTTTCACCTGTAACTCCAAATACACATAAGAGAGCGTCAAATCGTATTTCATAAGGAGCTAAAACAGCATTACAGTCATACTGCATGGGAAACGTAATGACACCAGGAGAGAGACAAAACAAAATGGACAACTTGCTGGGGTCCAGCTCAAACACCTTCAAAAAATGCCATTTGCTCAAGTCAGGGCTGAGATTTGTGCCAGGTAAAGCTGCAACAAAATGGAGACGAAAAGTCTGAATCATGTCCCCGGAGGGAGACGGATGAGGGCAGGCTGAAGTTCACGTCAATCCCCCAGGCTGATACAGAGGGTGTCACAACTCCGCAAACCAAAATGAACGGCTCAGCGGGAGCCGCTCCGCGATAGCAACTGCCTCGATAGGAGCCGGTGCGGCAACGCCAGAGTGGCAACGCCTGAAACCTGCGGGCAGAGCACCGGGACGGGAGGACAAGGGGCGCTCGGGGAAGGCTGCCCGCCTGCCTGTGGCCATACCACCAAAGCACCGGGGGATTCTGCGGCGAGCGCGTCCCGACGGGACGCTAGGCACGGCCCTGGGGAGGGCACCCTGGGGCAAACGCTGCGGGGACACCGCTATTTAGACCGGGGAGGGGGAGGAGGGGGTGGATTCGCCCCTTTACTTGCAGTCAGCATCCTCCCCCTGGGTCTCTGTGGGGAAGGAAGACAATGGCTATGGGCCGCGCTCCGCTGGCACCCCGGCAGGGTTAACCTGCTCTGCGCTTCCAGTTCTCCTCGTTTTCCCGGTTTCTTTTGCTCTGACATTTGCATCTCGGCTTGACAGCTGTTTTGTATGGGAGCCGATGTGCCCGTGCATGCTGATACGTAGGAGAACAACACCAGCTCCGACCGCGGCTCCCGAGCCGGCTGCGGGCTGCCGCCGCGCTCCCCCCTCACCGAGCAGCGTGAGGAACGTCAACTTTGGAGTCCTGCTTTACCGAACGGCGCTCCTTCGAGGCATCACCCCCCAACCACCCTCTCGCTCGGGAACGAAGATAAACAACACAGAAACCCCCACGAAGTCGGTGCACCGCCGTGTCAAGCGCCGGGTAAACAAGCAGCAACACGCCGGAGATGCGTGAAGAAAGCCTGCGTGCCAGCGCGCAGCGCCCGGCCAAACCGCTGCCTGCCGGGGGAGCAAAGTTTGCTCGCTCCGACCGCTCCGCTGCGCTGCTGCCGTTTCTCCCGTGGAAAACTCCGGGCGCCCAACGCCGCCCGGCACGGACTCGGCGCGGGGCGGCGCGGTGCCGCGGAGCGGCTGACGGCGGGATGCAGACTGGGGCGATGCGGCGGCGGCCCCTCCCGGCCCCGCTCCCCCCGCCGCTACCCGGCGCAGCAGGTGGCCGCTCGCTCTCACTCACCGCTGGCGTTCTTCCCGCAGATGAGGTGCTGGTAGGGCTGCAGCAGCCCCCACAGCTCGGGGTCGTTGTTGACCGTCTGCTCCAGAGCCTCCAGCGTGAAGCGCGGCCCCTCGGCGCCCTCCTTCTCCCTCTCGGCCGGGCCGGCGGCCGCAGCGGGGGTGGTACGGCCGGGCGGCGGCAGCGGGGCGGAGGGCCCGGTCCCGGCCAGCACCCGAGCGTGGATGTCGCGGAAGAGGCTCTCGGTGCCGGCCGTCAGGTAGATGGCGGCGTGCTCGTGGATGCGCAGGGCCACGCGGCTGTCCACCATCCAGCGGTAGAACTTGCCGACGGAGAAGGCCAGCCCGCAGCGCGCCGACTTGCCGCGGCTGAAGCGGTCCCCTCCGCTGCCGCTCATGTTGTAGAGCGAGAGGGCTCCGAGAGCGGCCGCCGTGCAGCGGGCGGCCAGCGTCCAGCCCAGCACGATCTCCATGGCGCTGCGCACCTCGTGCTTGGTGCACTTGGCGAAGCGCAGGCTGAGGCGCTGAGCCTCGCGGGCGATGCGCACCAGAGCGCGGCTCACCAGCGTGGACAGCCGCGCCGCCGCATCCCGCCCCGCCGCGCCGCCGCCGCCGCCCGGCGCCCGCGGATCCCGGCGCGGCTGCGGCGGCTGCAGCAGCGCCTCCACCTCCTCCAGGCTCCAGGGGACCTCCTCAAGGTCGGGCAGGAGCCGGGAGCAGTGCTGCCCCGCGCAGTCCAGCACCTCGGAATCTTCCGCTAGGACGGTGTTGACGGTGTCGAAGCTGTTGTGGCGACTGTGCATGGAGTCAGTTAGGTGCGGCCGGCAGCTTCCTCCATAGGGGTACGCGGGGTGCGAATCCGAGCAGCACAGCGACAAGTTGGAGGAGCGCACCGAGTCCGCCGCTCCACCATAGCCGGAGTCCAGCGTCAGGTCTTCCAGCGTCCGCGCCGCCGTCTTACCCCGCCGTGCCATCATCGCCGCGCTTCATGCTGCACCCGCGGGACCCGGGCGGGGTGCGGCGGCCGGCGGGGACGAGGCGGAGCGTCGAGCCCTGTGGGGCAGCCCGCTGTCGTGCTCCCAGCGCCGCCAGCCCGCGGAGTGCCGCTGCTGCTGCTGCTGTTGCTGCTGCTGGTGTTGCTGTTGCTGCTCCCGGTGCTGCCCGCACACCACTGCCGGCCCGGCTCCTGCACTGCGCCGCCGGCCCGACCCGCACCGCAGCGCCGGGCGGCGCGGGGGGGGAGGCTGGGTGGGTACATGCAAAGCGCCGCCGGCCCTCGACCAATAGGACGGCGTGGAGGGCGGGGGCATGGAAAGCGCCGCACTCCGCAGCCAATGGGGCGGCGCCTCCGGCCTCCAAGGCCCCGCCCCTCAACTCTACCCCTCGCCTCCGAGGGGTGCGGAGCCGCAGCACGGTGCGGAGATGGGGTGCTGCCCACGGGACGGCGGCGCGGCTACCGGCAGCGTTCCTCTGGGACGAGGCGGGACCCCGCCGCGCTCCGCTCTGCTAGTTTGCAGGTTGTGCTGTGGACGCGCTAACGGCAGCACGCGGACGCAGCCGAAGTGGTCGAGCTGCCTCGGGCACCGGTGCCGTAGCGTGACTCCTCTGCAGGACGGCACGGCGGGGATGGCGGTGGCGCGGGCCGGGAGGCCCCGCCGTGAGCAAAGCCCTGCGAACGGAGCAGCGGCACCTCGGGGCTGGCATCGCGAGCGCCCCGCAGCAGAGCCCTCTGCTGTCCGCAGCCCCGCAGAGCACTCCGCTCGGCCTCCAGCTGCTCCAACAGTGCTGTTCGCCTGAGCGTGCCCATACGCTTCTGCACAGCGCTGTGCCCTCGTGCTCAGCCGGGACCCCAACTCCTGGCTCCACACAGCACCACCCAAAAATCAGACCCTGTGTGAGAGCGGTTTCCAAAGCTTCTTGAACCCCGGCACTCGGGGCCGTGCCCACAGCCCTGGGCGTTCTGTTTCATGCCCACCACCCTCTGGTGCAGACCTGTCCCTAACCCCCAGCTGCCCTCCCCTGACAGCTCCATGCCGTTCCCTCGGGCCCTGTCGCTGTCACACAGAGCAGAGCTCAGCGCTGCCCTCCACTTCCTGTGAGGAGCTGCAGCCGCCACCAGGCCTCCCATCAGCTCTTCTGCTCTGGGCTGAGCAAACCCGGGGCCCTCAGCCGCTCCCCACGGCCTGGGAGTAGGCAGTTGCCTACCAGACACATCCACCGCAGAGAATGGTTCCTTACATGCCGGCTAGGGGGTGGTGATTTTCCACTAGTTGGGGCCATGGGCATCATTTATCCATGGACAGGGCAAAGAGCTCAGGCAGGAGCTGATGAAGTACCCGCAGGGGATGTAAGTGCCAGCATGAGCTCTGAAAGAAGTAAATTGAAGCACGGTTTAGGAAGGTGCTCAGGGCAAATGGAAGCGAACAGGAATGAGATGGTGTGGGGAGAGCAGTGAGGGGCGCAGCGCTTTCTCTCGCCTTCCCCAGCCCATGAGCTGCCTGCAGGCTGCACTGCAGTGGGAGCTGGGGGAGCAGCCCCAGAGCAGGCCATCCTGTGCCACCATCGTGTGCCAGATTCCTTCGTTTTTTGTTGGAAACCAAAAGCTGAAGCGAATTCAGGGAGAGCTGACACGTTCCTGCTGGCTAAGACCACTGGTGACTATTAAACACGATGATGCACATGCGATCTTCAGCTCAGAAGGCTTCTCAACAGCTGTTTGCCAGAAGTGGGGAGATGATGTCGGGGAAAGAGTACTCTGTGGTCACTCAGTGCCTTGTGGCTCTGCAGCTGGCGGCTGCGAGAGCAGAGAGTGCTGGGGATGGAGTGAAGGCCCACGAGGCAGCCCCTTGGTTCGAGCCCCTGGTTCTCAGCAAGGCTCAGCCATGATCTCTACACCCATCCTGACAGATTTCAGTCTCCCCTCCTGCTGAACCCATGCATGATGAAGTATTTACAGCTTCCATGCATGGTCTGTTTAAGAGTCCACTGCTGCCAGGAACAGCCCTCCCAGCACCTGGCCTAAGGTTTTCTTTGCTGCAAATGTAGAGGGTAAAAAGATGCTCCCAACCTTTGTTAGTGGCCTGGACCAACATCACTTCCTCTTAGGCAGCACTGAAAGCAAACAGAGCCAAGCAGGATACACGGAGCTCTCCTCCAGCCAGTGGCTCTGGTTGCTTCTCACGATTCTCTACACCCCTCCCATACAGCGTAACAGCGTTTGCATGCTTTATGTGCAGTCAGTTCATACACACATGCTATGTTTTGATCAGAACTAAAGGAAACAGGAATAGCAGGCTTCCCTGAGCACAGAGACACTTCCCTAACGGCAGTGCTCTGCCACTGGGAATTTCCATTCCCACCCAGACACACCAAGACTGCAACAGGGACAAATGTACGGGTAAGCAAGAAAACAATTTCAAGATGAAACACAAAGCAACATACATGCTGGAGATCAGCAGTGACTGCTGCATTGATCTGCGGTAGGGAGGACAGAAATAGTTTAACTCACTCTGCATTTTAAGTGATCGTTTCTCCCCATCTATCCATCAGCACCTCTTAATATGTGGCAGTTCAGGACTGACAGAGAGGAGGAAAGCAGCCCCCAGGAGGTTACCTCGTGGGCAGGGGCTCCTTCTGGTTCTGGAGGGCCTCTGGAGCCCCCAGCTGCACAGAGCCATTGAGATGAGAGGCAGATGCCATGCCCTAGTACTAAGGGGAACTTGCTGTCTTGCAGGCAAACTGCAGGAGAAGCACACAAAGAAGTCATTTTAATACAAAGAGGTTTTTTTTTTGTTCCAACAACTCATCCCTTAAATAAAGAAAACAAAAACCAGGCATGTTTGGCGTAAGATAAGGTTTAAGGAACTGAGCAATATTGTACCATTCTATTTTCATTGTCCCTAATGCTTGCAACTCCTTTTGCATGTTTTCCTCACAGTTCACTTAAAAACCAGATTACATCTTTTTTTTTTCTCTTTTTTAACATTACAGCATTCTGTTTGTTCCTTGAGCAACCAAAAGCACTGCTGAAATGACTGCAAATAAATCAGCCAACAACAACAAAAGCCTCAAAATTAATAAGAACTGTCCCCAGCAAAGCTCATTTTGCTGTCAATGCTCTTCCTTGCAGAGCACTTACGTTCCTGTAGCGCACCATCAGGCTCAACAACAAACCATGCCTGGACGCATGGGATGGATGAGGGGGTGTTAAAAATGTGTAGATATTCAGATGGTAAATATGACAATCTATTATAGAAACCTCTTTTTGTTTGTGAAGACTTTTTCTTGGATTTTTTTATTATTTTTTTTTAAGCTAACGGTAGGCAGCACCATGCATTAAGACGTGACATTGCCCAGCTCTGCCGGAGGTTGGGTCTCATCACCCATTCCATTGCACCACAGGCCCTGACGTGCCATGGGATGGCCGTGTGGGAGCTCCATGAAGGAGCAGACTTCTAACACAAACCCACTGCAGTTTCCAAACAGAACCAGTGTGCTTTCAGCAGTCACACAGTCATTCATAGAAATCACAGAATCATAGAATGGCCTGGGTTGAAAAGAACCACAATGATCATCTTGTTTTTCAACCTCCCTGCTATGTGCAGGGTCACCAAGCACCAGACCAGGCTGCCCAGAGCCACATCCAGCCTGGCCCTGAATGCCTGCAGGGATGGAGCACCCACAGCCTCCTTGGGCAACCTGTTCCAGTGCGTCACCACCCTGGGAGTGAAAAACTTCTTCCTAAAATCTAACCTAAACCTCCCCTGTCCCAGTTTAAAACCATTCCCCCTTGTTCTATCACTATCAACCCACGTAAACAGCCATTCCCCTCCTGTTCATACACTCCCTTCAAGCACTGGAAGGCCACAATGAGGTCTCCCTGCAGCCTTCTCTTCTCCAAGCTAAACAAGCCCAGTTCCCTCAACCTTTCTTTATAGGAGAGGTGCTCCAGCCTTCTGATCATCTTAGTGGCCCTCCTCACTGCTAACCCCTGGCTTCACATACAGTGAAGGTGCGAGCAAAGCATCAAATATCTGTGGGAAATTACAGCCCCAGTCATCATGAAATCCCCTCTCCCTCTTTCCCTCCTATTGCTGGCAACAGACAAAATATTTATGGTCTGCACAGGGATTACATTTTATACACCTTGCCCAGCCAGTGACCTACTGGAATTTCATGCACTGTAAGAAACATGAGCCACCAAACTGCCTCTTCAATTTTTATAATTTCAAGTATTTCTTACATTTTCAGCTGCCTAAAGGCTCTGCGAGTGCAGGAGGGCCAGAAACGGTGGTTACTTCACCTCACATCTCTCTGATGGCCTGTATTTCACTTTAAAACCTGCCAAAACACCTTTCCCAACAAGCTTGCCTGCTGGATTCCTTGCTGTGCCTTGTGTGGGGCCAGGTGGAAGGGGGTCAATGTCAATACCTCCAGCACGGAAGGCAGGGCTGAGACAGATTCCAGGAGCCCATCCAGTCCTATACATACACAGGTTTATGGAGACAAGACACCTGAGAGGCCCCAGGCAAGTCTCGGTGGTGGGATTTGCCAAAGTGGAAGGCAGCCAAGGGAGGGATGGCGTAGGAGCTTCCCTTTTGTGCATACTGCTCTGTGGCTCTTGGCCAAGCGACTGGGTTTGGAGACAAAGTGCTCCCCGTGGTGTGGACTTGGGGCTGCAGCAGCATCACGTGTCCCTGGAGGCACCCTGCGGTCACAGGACTCCTCACAGCCCTGTCCCATGGCAAGCAGCATCTGTCAGGGCCCTGTGCTGGGCAGTGGGATCCTCCTCCCAGCCCCATGGCTGCTATGGGGCTCATGAAGGTCGGCAGAGCACTTTGAGTCTCCTCACTTCTGTTTTCCAGCTGCAAAATGGCAGTAATCATGTTGGCCTGCTCTATAAAATGCCTTGCACACACAATGCAACAGCTAAGTACTATCATGACTATGTGTAAAATAATCCATTGCAGCCTCTGGA